AGGCTGAGTGCTGCGGAACGAGTCGTTTAGTCTTGTGCTAGAAAAAAGAAGAAAACGACACGCAATAATATTGATATCTTTATTTAGGGGTAGGATGGGGTCGGAGGGGGGGGGGGGGGGGGGGGAGCACGCAGTATATTGAATGAATCACTTCCACAGTCTCTTTATGATTTTATGGAAGAGTTGCATATTCAAACAAGTCCATATAAAACTATTTTTATTCATTTTTTTCATGGAGTGAAAGTTATGCGAAAATTTAACGCGACTGAGCGTCTTCTTGGTTTTCCTTTGTTACTGATAGAAGCCTGCACGTTGGCACTTGGAATCATTAATAGGTCACCACTCGCTACATTCGCAGTCGACACGGGGAGGCCTCTCAGGGCCACCTGACAACTACGCCGAGACCTCGACATTTTCAGGCAACCTGCCGAATGCCAGCCCCGAGCCGAGGTCGCGACTGCGGTGCCTGAAACGCGCCTCCCCCTGGTGTGTTAAGCGTCCTATTCCTCCTACGCATCGGAAAGAGGTCCCGAATTGGCCACAAATGATGTCACAAAAGCCCGAGTGTCGTGCTGTCGGATGTCGCGATCCTGGCGGCTGGGCGTAGAAGTTTCCGCAAAAACGCAGGAGACTCGAGTGTAACTGTCGTCGCGGCGTCCCAACTTCTAACTGACGAAACTTCTGTGGACTGTCGAGCTGAAGAGCGACCAGCCGCAAAACAGGCGTCTACAACGTCCACCCCCGCTGCTGTGACACCGCCAGGATCGCGGGCGGTGACAGCGTGAAAATTACACCATAGCCACCTCTATACTGACAAAGCCTGGGAAATCGCCACGAGAAGTGGCCGCCGAAATTGAAAACGTAGAGCGGCAGACAACAGATGAGAGGAGAGCCACGTGACTGGTGCCCCGCTGCGGCGAGACGCCGAAACGCACTTTTCCCGAGCTTTGGAATGTCCGCTCGTGCTTCTCACGTTCCTTGCGCTACCGCTTCTTTTCTTGTCGGGTTTTAAAACCCTGTTTCGGGTCCTCGCCGCCGCAAAGCCCATGCACGGCTGTCCTGGTTCCCCGATAAATGCTCTGTGTTGCCAGATCCTCGCGCTCCAATTCTGTGACCGGGCACTCTATGGCTCCATAGTCGAATTACCAGGCTTTGTTTGTATTGAGGCGGACATGCTTAGACCTATCACGTCATAAAACAAACATCGAGGACCAACTTTTTTTTTGTTGTTGTTGTGACGTAGTAACCGCGACAGTTAGAGACGCGTTCCGGACAACATATCAATACGTCACGGCTTGCCCCCCTTCGCAGCCGACACGGGGAGGCCACTCGCGGTAGCTCCCACTGACAACAGGGCCGAAGCGATGGAGTTTTCGTGCCACCTGTCGGATGCCAGCGCGGGCCCGGGGTTAAACACACGCTGCGTGACGGTTCAGCTGGAACTCTTCTTCTCAGTAACCGGGTAGGAGTCCCAGCCGAAAGTTAAAGCGACCCTCGTATTTAATCGCTGACGCAGCCTGACCCGCGGTAGATTTATTTTTTATTTTTTTAATTTTTATTACTGTAAAAAATTTCTTTTTAGGGGCGAAGCTCCTTATAGGCTACCCTTGTCCGTGTGTCCGTCCGCCGTCCGGCGTGCCCCTGCTCGTGAGTTCAGCAGCGAGAGCAAGAAAAAGATGGAAAAAGAAATAAAAAAACGAAAAAGAAGAAATACAAATAGGAGGCTCTGAGATGCCATCCCATCTGTCTTCTTAAAAAAAAGAAAGGAGAAAACCACACATTCTTCTACTGACATGAATGAAAACGGCACCATCAGCACTACCTATGACCAAAATCAATATCATCAGCACTACCTATGACCAAAATCAGTATCATCAGCACCACCCGAGCTTCGCCCCAATCAACATCATTCACCACGTGGAGATGCGGTATTTTTTTTTTACTTGCAGAAGCCTGTGTGTGTGTGGAAAAACAGTGGATGTACTTCAAAGAGGAGATAATTACTTTGTTTTCGGTCTCATGGCTGTTTGCTATTTCTTCTTTCTTTTTTTTTTTTTTAGGTTGAATCCACGTGCCCGAAGAAAAACACTCCATCCTGATTCAGGGCTCCAGGTGTTGAGAACGGTTCAGTTTTCCGCACGATATATAAGGGTGTTTCCGCGCCTTCCGATATCGGTATGTTTTAAAAAGACGATTCACCGGAGATTGTTGAGGTAAGGTATACTCCGTTTCAAGTTAGGCCTGACCGCAGCCAACGCCACGATTCGACGCAGCCGATCAGAATGCGCTAAAAGCGCTTCGTCACGACACTCGTCGTCTTTGTACGTTTTCTCTCGCGCGTAGAAGACAGGCAGAATCATGGTGCATTTACTGCTCCCAGTCGGTTTGTTTCGATGACGACAGACCCCAAAAGACAACGAACGCCCTGGCATTAGGGGGCTTTTGATTGACTGCAAAAGATCGTATCATTGGATGCGGACGGCCTCAATGTGAAGCTGTCTCGATTTAAAATACGCTAGGCCTTAAGTCGCCAAACAGTTAAAAATAGCCTTCAAGCTGATGTGCTTCAAGTTAACTCACTCAGTGACGAATGAGTTGTGACTAGGGCTGGTCACTTGATCGGTTAACCTACCGATTCGCAGATCATTGCTTTCATCACGATTACGTTTTGTAACCGGTTATTCGGTAAAATATTAACAAAAAAATAAAAGGAGAGAAATTTAACATTTTTATTAGGCAGGTGTGGACTAGTACACGTTTATGAAGGAAAACGTTAGGTGAGCGGAAACAGAGGAGTGTGAGCGGAGTCGTCTCTTTGTATGGTGTTCATCAATGTGAAGAATGCACTCTCAAAAAAGTAGATTTCCGAAATGTTCACATCGCTGTCATATAAATTAAGCTACAAATATTATCGATCAATTTCTTTCTCTTTTTTTGCGTTGTGTGTTTTTTTTTACGGCGGCGGATCTATTGGCGCTCACAGGCGGCGCAGGTTCTGGTTCTGCCGCCCCCTACCTCCTTTATCATGTTATCGCCAAGGTTGTAGGCTGATTCGTTTGCAAAGTCTCTCCGGTTGCTTTCCTTCACGTCGCGTAGACGGAGACCCTTTACGTCGGCTGTTGAAACAGGCACCTCGAAGCATTTGACAGACTCGCACCCCTCGGTCGCACCGGCCCATGGGCATTTTTTGGTCGCTTGTACGAAAATGTATCAGGAATTTTTTTTTAATTTTTCCTTCAAAACTACTGTCCACCTCTGTCCTGTCAGTTTGTTTTTCCCTGACCACGCCGGTTTTGGTTTACGGTTTTGAATAATAATGAAATTGTCAAGAATGAGTATGTGCACCCCATTTATGGCAACCGTGTTAGAGTCTATTTGGCCATATTTCTCTTTTCATAACTTCAAAGCATCACATATATTGCATTATGTGTCTGCAGATTATATTGGTGCATATTATAAAAGATAATTTTGGAGAGTAAAAAGAAAATTAAAGATTAGCTTTTTTTAAATGATTTTCAAAATAATTCATATTTAGTGAAATGCCCCTGTGTGAACAGTTTTTGTAAATTTCTCCCGCATACCAGGACAACAATATTTCACGCAAAGATTAATTATATACAGGGCAATACACTGAAAATTTTGAAGGCATTTGCTTTTTATAGATACGGAAAAACAAAATCTTTCTTGAGAGCATTGTTGCGCGATGTACCGTCGATTTTGTTTCTCATAATAACCACCATAATACTCGGTAATTACTACTTTCTGTCAATCCCTCCTATGCCTAATTTGTCAGTAAATATTTCTAGACCTGTCGCCAGAACACTTTTTTGGTAGAAGCCGCACTAAATGACAACATCGGGGGATACGCAAAACGCGCACGTGACTGAGAGGGTGCTTATATATTTTTTTTCTCGCAAATACGCTTTTCTTTTAACAAGGATTGGTTTCGTTCTTTTGGACACGAAGCCAGTAAAATATACTTTTTTCGTCAAAATTAAAAAGGTCACCGGACATAGTTGTTCGATCTTATTTGAAAACGCCCCAAGACGCACTTTCTACCTTTCCTTCATAAAATGTTCGACCTAAATTCTCCAGAAACAAACAAGCAAGGTAAACGTTATTTTTCTATTTACACTATTGACTAGCACGGGTGCTTTAAAACCGCCTACATGCTTTGAAGGTTGTTAAAAGCGCGTGTACGTATTGGTCAAGTTTGCAAGCGTCATATTTCGATGAAGCTGTATAGGAACAGCTTCCGGTCGTTTTCAGACATGCATATTTAACATTGAAGTGTACATTTGTTTTCTAGAAGATATTGTAAAGACTGGTTCTCCTTAATTTAGAGAATAATTAAAACTGTACGTTCCATTTGCTAAGTTTGGCTTTCTTTTTAACATGTAGGCCACGTAACGTCAACAAGTAAGAGCAAGGTTCTAAATTACAGTCGCAATATAAGGTTGTTTTTACAGCGGTGGTGTTAAGGGCTAGGTTCTCCAGGATCGTGTCCGCCAGATTAGAAATGATGACACCGAACTCTCGACAGCCACCGCCATCTATAAGCGACGGCGGCCACAAGACAACTGGTTGCCGCCGTCGCTCATAGATGGCGGCAACCTTTCTTCGGAGGATGAAAAGCGGGAGCGGAATGGGCGGTGATGTGCGGAGCAGCGCGAACGGTTCTGCAACCGCCGCGAAGCCGCTATCACCTAATGTTCCACTGCATCAAGGGCTTCAGATTCCCATGAAAAAGAAGAGCAGATCGCTCGCCTGAAAGCCACCGCGGAAAACAGATGCTACAGTTCCGCCGCTCTTCCTTCTTCACCAAAGTAAAAAGGCTGAAAGTTTTTTTTTTATATATATATATATAAACTGTAATTCTTTTGTTATACTCAATGATCAATTTAACGATCAGTTGATGTCTGCATATTTTCACCATGACTGACTTTTCTCATCTCAGCTTTCTAGTTTATAAAGCACAAGAAGCAAATAAATATTCAAGGATGTACAACACCGGAAAATTCTTGGCCATTTTATTTGGTAAGCCTGAACATTAAACTAGAAGTAGAACACTGACTGACTTCTGGTCAGGGCCCACCGTGACGTACATCTTATTCTTACTTACTAAAGACCTTGCAGACGAATAACGTTTTTATTCCTGTGCAGTGCTACGCTCGTGCTTTACCTTGTTAAATAGAAGTAATTCAAATAACAAAATGTCAGTTAACAACGCCTAAAAGTATTTCGGCTTCAGTAGTGCAAGGATAAAAAAGGGGTGTTTAGAACTGCAAGATATAGATGGAACTTAAGAGTCATTGTACTCCCTCTTTACAGCGCAGGTATTCCTAAACAATCAAGACAAAAATCCTATTTAAACAACAGCAGATACTGCCAATACAAGAACAATGGCACCGCTCAAAAGGGCCACAAAACAATTGTCTCACATTCAGTATATACCAGGGTTGGGCAGAAATACTCAAAAATGTATTTGGAAACACAAATACTGGGATACATTAAAATAGTAGCTAAAATACTGATACTAAGATATATCTGTAAAAATGTATCGCGATACCTATCGGAAATACATTTTAAGAAGAGGAAAAATGTATTTGGAAATACAAATACAGGAATACATTTTAGGGAGGGAAGAAATACAAATACAGAAATACTGATAGTGCAATACATTTTCCAATTTTTTTTTGAGACGCCAACTGAGATGAAGCTTGAAGTTTGAAGTGGATGTTTTCAATCCCAAAATTACTTTCCTGTAGGCTTGGCACTTTGCCTTGAAGGTAGTGGTTTCGGACGACTAAAAATCTTCAATAGTCAAAAAAAAAAAAAAAAAAAACCTTCCATCAAGAGCTGACCGCGGTCCCTTCCATGACATCCTGTCTGACGAGGGAATCCTGTCAGAATTGATCACATGATGCCACGGTGGAATGAACTAGTATTCTTTATCTGTAGGTGTGGCCTTGAACATGAAACTTTACCACGCTGCTGTATGAAAGGACAATACGTACTTTCGTTGTATGTTACCTAGTTGAACATCGTGCTTGCAGTGTCATTTGTAATTTTTGAGAATATTGGACCACTTGAAGCATCTTGGAATACATGTCTTATCTTCTGTTACGGTTGAAAAAACAATACGGTAGCATCCCTGTTCTGAAGTTCCTTACTACCGACCCTCCGCCACCGACGCACGGTCTCGAGACGAGTCGCGGGAGTACGTAGTCTGGGATGGCACAGCGAGGCCACTTCTGGCCTCCTTCTGGGTTTCGGATCACCAGAGCAGTGGGTCACGTTCATGTCGGCTGATGACGTACCCTTGAGCCGTGCAATGTTACGGGCGCAGCCGCAGATGCATTCGAATATGTGTTGAACTTCACAGCGTGAGTCTTCCTACTATTTCAAGTCAACCACCGCCAGGCTCGTGCTGCAGCGGAATGTGACTCAGCTTTGCCGGCTGGGTGTACTGTGTACGCTAAGGCGAGAGAGACGGTTAGCAGTGGGCATTGGATGACAGCAAACAATGACTCAAGAAGTCCCCACCTAAGGACCTGTGGCAGAAGATGCTCTGACTCCACTCCTGGCACGCCACCTGGTTCGAGTCCCCGACTACGCAACACTTCTCAGAAGAGAGGAAGAGGGGACGCATAGAAAAATAGTGTGCAGAATCAAAAGGAACTTTGGTCAGCATAGTAACAATGCCCCATCATTTCCTTGACTCTGGTGCCTTCAGAAGTAAAAAAAAAAAATAAATGCGTTCGGACTTGTTTTTTTTTTTTCCCGGGGGGGGGGGGGGGGGGGGGTTCCCAAGTAATGTAACGAAATACATTTCATCCTAATTGTATCGCGATACAAAGAAACATTCCAAAGGTATTTCGATACAGGTATACAGATACTGGTGAAAAAAATGTATCTCGATACAGAAATACAGATACAAAATGTATTTTTGAAATACTATCGCGATACATTTGTATCGCGATACTGCCCAACCCTGGTATATACCGTAGTGAATGTTGCAGAAGTCATTAAAGTAATTTTTGTAGACTGTAGACTTCATCAACTCGCAGGAAAACAAGTGGCAACGAAACCTAGATTGCGTAGCCTGCTGCCGATATTTATTTATATTGAAATGATGTAAATTGGCAGATAGTTTAGTGATAAAAGAGATTGAGTTTCGCCTTGGGCCAGCTGCCCTTAGCTCGAGCTGCTTGCACGATCGTCGCAGACGAGAGCACCGAACATACTTCGTCCTCTTAAAAAATATATATATATTCTGACGACGAAGAAGACGACGCTGCGGCAGTGGTGTGCACTACTATCGCGCTAGGCCCTGCCGCCATATTCGGCTTCATCATGTGAACATCCTTGTCTTCTCCTGCCGGCCCCGCATCTCCATAATAATATATATATTTCTGCGTGCTGGAGTGCTTCCGATTTAAAGGAAACATGCTGTGCTCAAGATATTATTAGAGTTAGCGATATCTGCAAGCCCAAAGGTTGAACATGAGCCCCAGTACGAACGTGCATGGGGGTGCTGAATGTAAGGAAGCCGAGGCCGAATTCTGTAACAAGTCTTGGGACCAATATTTCTGCAGCCACGATAAAGTGATCCCAATCGGTACGACAATGCCACCACGATTCTTGATATCATGAACAATCTTTGAGAGAGAATCAGTAAATAAAAACAAAAAGTCAAAGCCGTTTACAACTCACTGTAAGGCCGAATCAGGGCGCAGCTCTTGAGGAGGAGTAGGGAAGGGTACTGAGGGGAGAGGAGGAGAAAAGGGTATTGACGGGAGGGTAGACCCAACACCTCCTAGAAGACAAGGCCGTAGTGCTCTTCTCGTGACGTCGCAAAGGAAGGCCATCGGGGGCGCGCGTCGAAGCGAATGCAACGCGCGTAGATCGACCGTCGTAACGCGTTTTTAGTCACATACGCGTGTCATGTTAGCTAAAATGAAAGCTGCAGAGAGCAACGGGTCTAGAAAACATTTTATTACACGAGCAAAATATTACATCGCTAAATAATCGGTACGAAATGGCACGAGGTATGCGTACAAGACGTCTATCAAAAAATGTGATTGTTTTAAGTCGAAAACATTGAGTCGTGCAATTATTGTTGTAGGAATGCATATTTTATACAGAAATACTTTGACAAAATGGCGAGACACGCAGTGAATTTGAAACAGCAAAACAGAACAGTTAAAAATCAGGTAGACATAGTCAACGCGGACAAGGCAAGACAAGCGTTTCTCACGATCATGTAAGCGACGTTATCGCGTGCAGTCACTGAATTCTTGCATCATACCCCGGCCACATGGCAAAATTAATGTAATTTCGATCGAATGACATTATAGGGTCGACAAATCCGCTTGCGGCGCTCGTATAATCACTCAAGACCGCGAGCTGATTAAATCCTATGTCACTGAATGAAAATATATTAACGTTTCCCTGTGGCAGGGGTACTAAACTTACTACTTAGTCTACTAATTTACTTCTCCCTATGGGCTCGAGCTGCCTTAGAACAAAACATAACTTATTTTGTATATAATAATACTATCACCTTAACACAGTTAAGATTCTAGTATAAACGCGGAAAAGGCAATAAAATAACTTTAGTATAAATAAACGCAGAACCACGAACAACTCACTTTCAATAATCACACAAACTTGATTTTCATCTTCTAGTGAGAACTAGATTAGCGCGCATATTTACAAATGTCGACGCAACTGCATACGAATAATGACAAGGAACAAAATTGCAATTTATCATGCGATTAAAAAAAAAAAACGATTGCAGCATCTTACTTGCGTCCTACATGAACAAGAAAGCCCGTAAATAAGTTGTTTCTCACCTGTCGATCGTATCCATACGTCCCACAATATCCGTGACGAACACATTTGAACACGAACTCCAAGAAGCCTCTCTTTGTCGAGAGAGAGGTCTATCGATTAGTCGACCAGAGCCTTCGTTGGCTAGTTGTCACACGTCACTCAAACCGTAGCAGGACTTGTTTCACCAATGCACGTAAATGCCGTAGTATCAAGCGAACACAAAAAAAAACTACCCGAGACTACGGTGATGACAGAAATACGACGGGAAACAAGTCTCAAAAGTACCACACACGAGAGCAGCGGCGACGAAAGGCTTAACGTTGTCGACCCATCTCTTGCTGGTGTGCGCTCCCTGCGACAACGACTGGATTTCTTTTCGGTTTGCTTCCCTTCTGAGATGTCTCAGCGTTCCTTTTCAGACAGTCAGCAGCTCACACACAACGTAAATTTACCAGAATCGGAGCCATGTGGCATCAGCAGCATCGCAGCCGGTCCTTTCGAAAAGTGTGGGGTGCTGCGGAACTGCACGTAGTCCCGCGGTTACGGGAAAAGTCATAAATATAATTTTGGTACTCTCAACCTTGGTAGCGCGTTATATAATACGTTTATATTATATATATAATAAATTGTACAAGACTGCGCCTTTAAAACGTATATTAATGTCGGATAAACGCGCATGAACGAACACCACCGCGCCGCTTGTCGAGGAACATTGTTTTCACGTCGATAGCGTATTCTCACGTAGTTGCGCCATGGACTTCCTTCCTCCGCCATTGTGACGTAACCTCTCAGAGCGCTCTGGCCTTCTTCTCTAGGAGATGTTGGTAGACCCCTACTCCTTCTTCTTCTCCTCCCCCCCCCTCATTCTTCAATATCCTCTGGGGGGGTCATCTGACCTCGGGGGGAGAGGTCACGTGACCTCGGGGGACGGGTCACGTGACCGTGGGGGAGTCACGTGACCTTGGGTGGAGGGGTCACGTGAACCTGGGGAGTCACGTGATCTGGGGTACGTGACTTCGAGGGGTCACGTGACCTCGGGAATGGGGGGGGGGGGGGGGTCACGTGACCTCGCGGTTACCCCGACTGCGACGGCGACGCCGCTCAAGCCGGAAAAGGGCCCCTAAGAGCTGCGCTCTAAAAAGTGGCCTCCATTTATATCAACTAAAAGTGACAGACAAGCTATCGGCACAGTTGTGTGTTACTTTATGTTACAATTCAGTTGGTCATCTTATGCGAGGCGCGTAATGTTTAGACCCAATATAATTGCAAGACATCGTGAAAGAGAATGAAAAACAACGAGTACTCGTTGGACAGTTCTGCTCTTATGTTTTGCTGCTCTGGCTAGATAAGTGGAAACTATTTTACAACTATACGGCGTGCCTTCTTAATGTGCATTTTCATTGCAGTTGTCGTCATTGCCATTAACGACGTGGCTGGAACGGTCAGAAACCAAAAGCCTGGTGCAAGGGAAGCAAAAATGGATAGGGCAGAAGCGTCCGGGAGGTCTGACATGTCCTCAAACGTAGTTGAGGCTCAAGTCGTCGCCGCCGAGGGTAGAGATGATGGCGACAATTCAGACGTTATCTTTGGTGTCGAAAAAAGTGGCGTTTAAACGTGGCTCTGTAACCACAACTGATAATGTTTAAGCCATCAGTTATACACTAATTTCGACTCGTTTTTGCTTAGAGATATTTACTCGAGAATAAAAACGAACATTTCATCTTATATCGTATTTCATTGTTTAGTTTATATACAACTTTTGGTAAAACATAATTTTTTTTTATCATCAAATGAAACTTTGCGGGCTATGATCACGAGCATTCTATGTAGCCATGAAAATAAAATATTACGTAATTTGCGCTTGTCCGTGTCTACTCGCTTGTAATTGTCCCCTGTGTCGCGCAAAAAAAAAAAAAAAAAAAAAAAAAGCCTCTAATCTGCATCATGAACCAACTAGGACAACAACAAGTTTTAATTGATTACGTAATCATGTACGGTATTTTAGTTATCAACAAATACCCACTAGAACAAGGACACAGAAACGATTCGAGCGTCGAAAACTTAGTAGAATGACCCAGAAAAGCCGTGTTGTCCTCCTTATCTATTAGACTCGAGGTATGAGTAAACACAGCTCCTCTAGAATTGCAGAGAAGCGTTTCTTTGTGAAACTTTTTTTTTTTTTTTTTACTCTAGAAAAAGTCAGCCAAACTTGGTACTTGTCACTCGAAGGAAAGGGTATCTTCCACCATTTGGTAGGAACGGTTCTATCGTATGCAAGGATTTAGTTGAAGATGTTCATAACTTGACAAAGCCACCACCAAGTCTGAACATATTATTTTAAAGATCTTAGCGAAAGTTTTTTTTTTTCTTTATTAATAAAGATTTTACCAGGGCACGTTGTAAAACATCAGACGTGTGTACGGAGCAATTTTCAGTGATACGTGAGATGAAAGGCGCACCCTGATGTTTGGCGAAATCCGATTAATTATGACTTGGTGGTACTCACCCATCCTTCCGACGTTTCGTGCGACGTACTGGGCGTTACATTATGCGGGTGCCTTGCGCGATCGACTATTTTTTACAGGAGCACTGGGGTCCTTAAATATTTACTGGGCCTTGCACATTACTCGCTAGATAAAAAACATGCCGGTACCAGGGCCCTTCGTATGGCAACCACTAAAATTAGAAGCGATAATAGTGACGGTTAAACGGAAGCAGATAGGCCGCCTAGAGTCTCCCGCGAACAATTGACTTTTGGTCTTGAAGCTTGAGAAACGACCCGAAGCGCCCCCGTCTTCCAACCGAAAAGACCTTCCAGAGGGTGGGCACTCACGATTAAACTCATTGAACTCGAAAGAGATAATGCACAATCTGGTGCATGACACGGAGACTGCACGAAGAGAAAATTAAAAGAAAGACAAGTTCAAAAAACGTGCTTTACGTTCACTACTACGCCGCGCCAACGGAACAACTGGCACATAAAGCACGATTACTCTATTCATTTTGTTTTATTCCCAATCTGATTCTTTTTTTTTTCAAAATAGCACTTATCATAAAGCGGTTGCCTTGCGTAGTATCGAAACTCCTTCCAGGAATAGGTTTGCACAAAAAAGAGCAAAAAGAATTGCAGCAAAAAGCGCTTTTCTCCGGATGTATATCATCACGTAAGCACGTACGTAAGTTTCGTCTAAAAAAACAAAGCCTTTTTGCTTATTGCCGGTTCAGCCAACTTGGTTCAAAATAATTCTCCAGTCGACCGTCGGTGCCGAGTCATGCTTTGTCTAGGACTATTGGGGACTAACTATGACTCATGGCGGACGAACGCCAGGGGACATGGTACGATCTACTTCCGATGGTCGCCAGAGGCCTGTAGGTATGCTGGACGAAGTGTAACTCTCCGGCGACTGTAGCCGGCGGACAAAGGAAGTTACTTTGTCCCCCGGCTACAGTCGCTAGAGAGTTACACTTCGTCCAGCATACCTAAAGGCCTCAGGCCACCATCGGGGGTAGATCGTACCATGTCCACTGGCGTTCGTCGGCCGTGAGTCATAGATAGTCCCACATAATTACACATAAATCAAACCGTAGCCGACACTACCACCTGACGCAATCAACCAAAGCGTGCCAGGAGTGCATTGTCACGGTGCTCTTTTTCTTTCTGGGTTTGCTATCTTTCTCTAAGCAAATTACGCGAGAAAAACCAACGCCTTGCAGGCTCCATGGGACAGATGCTTTGGCATTAAAACAGCTCAGGATGACGGCGCCTTCATTGCGCGGGATTGGTTTTAGTTCAAGATTGCGAACGCACAAAAACGATGAGTTCAGGGACGGTGCATTTTTGTGCAGATTCAGTGGCCTTATCGAATCGCAGCGACGACCGCGTTCACACTTGAAGTGAAACGGACTCATTTCCACCGTCTATAACGCAGGCGAAACAGTCTGAGCCACTGATGAGCCAACGGATGCCCGCTGTTTCATATTTGAGAGAATTACTGGAGTTACTGTTCATGCTCAGAGTGCCTTCTACAGATGACTCGACAAATATGGCCACGTCCAGAAGTCGATTATTGGAAAGTTCGATAGCCCGCAGGTGACTGCCGCTTCCTCAAGTAGCTCTCCACCTGGGGCCCTAAACTCGTCAAACACAAAGTTGGAGCCGAAGTTGACGGAGTGCGCCGATTTGACAATCACGACGATGACTTGGAGTTTTTCTCGTCGACGTCCAATCGGCGCGCTCCGCGAACTTTCGTCTACAACTTTGTGTCTGACGAGTTTAGGGCTCCTGAACTCACGGCATCGCATGAATGGATCGTAATATAACGAGGGATATCGCGGAGCCTTATGTCACGTCACAGCTTTAGACACAATGGGATTAATAGCTTAAAAAAGGCGCGATAAACCTCCTCTCCCTGCGATTACTTCTGCTCACCACAAGCAGCTCCTCGCAATCCAAAAGCGCTAAGAATTCAAGGCCCTACACACACACACACACCAAAAAAGCGAAAAAAGCTTCTCATTAAAGCATGCTCGTGACAGGCCTCTCTCCCGCGGAAATTTATACATGTGTTGATCATTCTGAGGAGCCCGAAGGTCGCGAGAGTACGTCGTATACGCACACTGCACCCGAAACCAAACTGAACTCCCCGCAACCAACCACACACTGAAAAAGGCTCGAGGTTCACCTAAGCACTTCTTATGAGTTCTGAATGCGATAGGACGCGTACCGTTCTTCTGCTCCCGTGTTACGTATGCGGCGTGATTGCGTCGGCCGTGCGAGCACTCTCCCAGCTCTCCTCGCAGCTCTGAACTTGGACACTTCTTGTTACAGGCGCTCCCGCGGCATCGACACTCAGCGCCGTGGGGTGGCGGTCGTTGAAACTGACACGCGCAGCGGCCAATGGGAGCCTCGTCAACGCGCGCCAGCTAATGGGATTGAAGGAGTAATCCATCAGCTTCACTCCGCCTCTTTGAGATCAGGGAAACTAGATGCCGCTGTCTAGGCTTTTCGCGTGGTTTCATAGCTGGGAGCTGACTTCGCATGGAGAAAGGATTTGAGGAGCCGTTTGGCGCGCTTCAAACTGATGACGTCGGATATCTCCAGGGGACAGCTTATGCTTTCGCATTACAAGCAGGTTATACTCTTAGACCCCTTGTCACATATAATACACACCCCAAAACTTTCAGTTCAACGCACAGTTCACTGACGTTGGACCGACGGTACCAACTCTGCCCGATCGGCTTGATAGCCGAGTTGTATACAACTTATTAAAGTAGCTAATGTACGTGTGACTGGCTGCAAAAAAAGGTATTCGGGTTTTTCTTTTTTTTTTTTGGGGGGGGGGGGGGGGGGGGAGGGGCCTTACTGCAAAACCTGTTTTTTTGTGTTTTTTTTGTAGCCTTTCATAAGTAATTTAGCTGTTTAATACGTAATATTCCACCGTCATCAAGAGTCTCATAAATGTTGGGGCCGTCAGTCCGACATTAGTGCGCTGCACGCCAAACTGAAATTTTAAGGTGCCTTATTTGTGACAAAGGGTGTAATGGCTACACCCTTTTAGGTCATAACGCATGCATAATACGCGCACGCTACATTTTGTGCTTCTGGGGTTTACCGGAATGAACAAGACAAGTTACATTTTGTACACAAAATATACTCTCGGTAGGCTGCGTTACTAGAAGTACACACTTAGTATGCTAAACACACTTTTAGTGCCTTTCTTTTTAATAAAGGTTGTCGTGTCACTTCCTTTGCCCTACTTTATTTCCCTTCTCCCTCTTTCATGATTAGATTGCCAAGAGCGCGTATGAATAAAAAACGGCTTCAATGTGTCCTTGCAGTCCATAAACGAGAGATAGTTTCTACCATTGAAATAATATATAGTGTTCTAGAAAATATACGATCCAAGAATATGTGTACGAAATTCTAGGCGTTTTAATTTTTTTTTTTGGATTGTTCGTTGATGGGCAGGCAGTTAAAAATATGCATGTCCCGCATCTTTTAACTCGACTGATATGCAAGTGCTAACTAAGGCTTCAAACTTTTTTTTTATATTAAAGGTGAAACAAATATTTGCCTATGAACAAAAACTTCTAACTGAGAAATAGTTCGGATATTATTGATGTAAGGAAAAGACACAAGTAATACATTTTACTTCCTTTTTTTTTTTTTTTTTTGCAACGTTGCGATTGGAGAATTTGCACTATGTTTCGCCATACTGTCCCGGGTTTAACAATTTAGGTGTTATCCTTACTCAGGAACACCAAAAAAAGACCCTGTCGCTCAACAGTCAGGCCGCTTCGTGTACAATTTTAGGAAGAAATTCACCAGCTGTCATTAAGGTCAGAATTTTCAATTTACAGGTCATAACTTTTACAGCTTAGTAAAGGAAAGTATGTGAGGCTCACTCATCTTTCAGTCGAATATAAACCGTGGTGTTCGCTTTGCCTCACGAAAACTTACTTTCTCTCAGTAAAATACAAACTTGACTTTTTAGGTACATAATAATATAGCACAAAGGTAAAGGAGAATAGACAGTACGAACGATGTCCGGTCCTGTCTACTTTATTCTCCTTGTTGTAGTTGTTGTTTTTCTCACTGTTTATTTTGTACTT